GCTAGAAGAGTCAGAGTTTGGGACGGAGTCTTTTACCCCCTGGAGTGTTACCGGAGTTTCTGGAGTGCTCAAATAAACTGGCCTTTTTCCCGAACGCTCCTCTGGTCTCCTGCTCGTGAGGGATTCATTACAATATCGTAACATGGTTTAGATTTCTAAATAAATATTCACCTCGTCGCTAGATAGACCTACTCCTGAAAAACTTGTGCGCAAGGCTTTTTGTCCCTACGAGGCCACCGTCAGTTACCCGACGGGAGGGGTGAGCGAGTGAGCCCTGCAATCTAGAATTTGACCACTGATGTCACTGTTTTCAACCCATTTTACACACTGGCCCTTTAATGCAAATAAGTGACTTAATTCATGAACTAGAGTGCAGATCTCTGCCAGGCAGCTGCTTGAGCTGATCATGGCCACACTGGACAATTTTTGTAATTCCATAAGATATGCCGCAACACATTTCAGAAGCTAATAAAGATAACTGGTCTATAGTCCCTTTCATACTGACTGTTTGAGGCGGGAATATCGCATCGTCAGACCACCTTGCTGTTCTGTAGAAAAGGTACGATTGCAGAATAGGGGGACAGAGTTGTGGTTCAGAATACCAAACTTTTGAAAGGATGTCAGTTTTGAGCCACGACGAAGGCCACAACACGGCTTGCAGCAGACTTTAAGGCTTGTTGTTTTTAACTAAGCCAAAATCCAGAAAACTTGCAGCCCCTACCAGCTGTTGAACAGGACTGAGGAGTCAGCAGTTAGTGATGGTGTAAAACAGCCAGTAAAACAGGTTTTTCAACAACTATGAATCAACACACAACCAAGAGAAATCCTTGAGCATACAGTTATAGATATGCACTAAAATATTAGGCTGATTGGGCCGGTAGTTTGCAAGATTAACTGTGGACAGACAGAACCACACACACACAACCACATGCACACACACGCACACAACCAAATGCATGACCCCCTTAAGGCTCAGGCCTGGCAAAGATACTAATCAGAATGAAACCATGTAAAAGATGTACCACCCATAGGTTTACTGTAAACTGGGGTGTCACAGTGGTGCAGTCGTTACCACTGTAGCCTCACAGAGGTAGGGGTCTGAATTTAAACCTGTGAAGTTAATTGTATGTGATAAAGCTAGTGTTCGTCTGTCTTTATCTGTCTTGTTGTTGATAGGTGACCTATGGATGGTGCACATGCCTAGCGTAATGTCAGCTGGAACTGTCTCCAGGACACTTCAACCCAAGAGTTTATAGCTGTAGAGGGATGGAGAGATGGATGGTATTTTAAAGATAGACAGATATTACATCATACAAAGGTGGGATGGCTGTAGAGAACTCTTAATTAGTTATGTAAGGGGAAAAGAAATGACTTTTTCATCATCATAACAAGGACATGTAAAAGGAATAAAATAACTCGGAAGTATTTTCAGCTTGCAGTGTTTGTTTATTCAACACAATGAGCCACATAAATTATGACAGCTCCAACTAGAGGTGATGATACATCACAACAACAATTTGTAGATTTCTACAAGACACACTGTACTCAGAGAGAGTAAAGGAACAACTGTCTTTATAAAAGACAAACAGTTTACAGTATTTGAGGACACAGTACTCATTGTACTTTAGAAGAATTTTTCTAAACAGGTTTGAATATTTGCACTTACAAACCAAAGAAATAGTAAATAGTAAAAACTGACCTCATAACAGGTCACAGTGTTCTTAAAAACCACTAAATTGGTTGGATTCTCAAAATGTAAAAAATACATGGTCACTGTAAAACTGTGACAGAGTGACATTAAACAAACCTTTTACAGTAAAGGATTGGACATGTTGATCTTAAAACAGATCATCTCTCAATAATCACATAAAATGAGGGAAAGTCTATTATGACAAAATGTCTATAAAAAGGACAGTTAATTTTTTTTTTGATCAGCTCAAATTAGCGATACCTTTCAAAAGGTCATCCATGTGCAGTGTTGTACCAACACATGACGTGCAGTGTGTCACAGAAAAATTGTGACATTAAGCAAAACTTTAAGAAAACAAAAAGTAAAAACAATTTGGATCTAACAACAGGTCAGTTTTGAGTAATCAGACAGATTAAAGTCCATGATACAATATGACAGAAAAAGGGCAGTTAATGTTTTTTGACATATAATAATAATAATAATAATAATGATAATGATTGCAGATGCAATCAGATTTGGTTCATGCAACATGCATGACAAGAAGTTCTCTTTCTTAATTTGAAAGATATTGTTGTTGTCATTTCCTTAGGAAAACACACAAAATAAAACCTTCTGTACAAACAGAAGAACAAGTTCATAGAATTCAGAAGAATTCATTTCCAGTAATCTTTGACCAATATGGTCATCTGAGTTTGTCTGGTAGTAACTCCAGTCTGTAGGTGTCTACCACGGCCTCCAGAGGGCGCTGTTGACTGGACTCTGTTGTTTGGTGATGCTGGTCTGGACTGTGGAGCTCAGAGGAGAGAAGTCAGCCTCTGTCAGGTTGTTATCAGAGGAAGACTGCAGCTTGTTGAAGTGGTTCAGCAGTCTTCTCTGCTGTTGATGCTGCTGCTGCAGCTGTGTCAGGACACAAACTGTCATCTCCAGGATGTCTGCTTTCTCCAGCTTGGAGTCTGGCTGCTGTTTGAGGAACTCTGGACCCAGGAGAGACTTGAGCTGCTCAATGCTGCTGTTGATTCGCTCTCTGCGTAACTTCTCCACCAGAGGCTTTCTGAGCTGCAGGAAGAAGAACAAAGTCATTAATAAACTTATTCTGGAGTAAATGTTGGCATGAACAAAGACAAGCTTTCAATAACAATATTTAAATGTTGTTGGATGTTGAGTTTACCTTGTGGGTCAGAGTGAGATGCTCCTGAGAATTGGTCATTGCTGCAGTGATTGTAGGTGCCATGTCTGGATCTGTGTGCTGTAGAGGTCTCTGTAGAGAGAATCTGATCTGTGCTGGCTTCATCCCTCCTATTTATAGTCCCACATCTCCATATCAATGTGTGGGTCCTGGTTTCACTGGACTTTCTCACACTCTCAACCAGTCAGAGAGCTTGGTCAGACAATAAGGGGTGCAGCACACTTAATGCTGTTATCGCCCCGGGGGACAATGGTCAGATCTCAGGGGAACAGGTGGAGGACTGGGGGGGTGATGGAGAGAGACTCACAGAGCTCTGTGTGAATCTGGGAAAGTGTTGACCCTGTAGAGAGAGCAGATCTGCTGCCTGATGCTGGGATCAATGACTTTGACTGAGCACACGCTCATCGTCCCCTCACACACATGAGGAAAGAACAATTTATAGTATAACATATGAATAACATGTAGGATAGATTTAAAAACTAAGTGAACATTTTATTTTTCTGCTGCTGATGGTTCATTGAGTTAAACCTTACATGTGGCAGGTGCAATCCGTCTGTTTTGAACTGCTGATTAGTTTTGGAATTTTCAAAGTTGATTAAAAAAAATTCAAATTGCTTTATAAAAAATCCACCATTTTGCAAACTGTACAATATGTTCGAAAACAGTTTGCTGCCTGTTCATGGTACTTGAAATAAACTCAGCACAATAATCATGCAGCTGTCCAGATGTAGTCAAGTCTTTTGACTCGTGCCTTGTAGTCGGTGTGAGGAACAAGCTGAGCTCAGTTTCCCACACTGACTCCCTGTATTGTGGTCAATGAACCACAAAGGGACTTCAGTGACAGATGCTGGCTGTGTGTTGTTATAGAAACACAGTCTGACATCATCAGCCATCTGGAGGGAAAGAACACCATTGGCTGGCTCTGACAGTTTGTAATATTTTAAATTTTAGTGGGAAATCTTTTATTAAGTATCACCAAAATGACTCATTATCACATGTTTTCTGTTTCCAATCATTGCAATACATATTTGAACCTCCAGTAATAATCCTGCCTCATAACTGACCATCAACTGGATCAAAGTTTCAGCTCTACACATGAGGGTGGGAGGTTTCCTGGGGGGCAGCTGTTTCCTGAAGTGTGCCAAATCCCTTTGGGGAATGACTTGGCTGCTGGTGGCATGGATGTCATTCACACTGAAGTCTTCCCTCCAGAGCTTTCCCACACTCTGTCCATTAGCAGAAGGCATGTGCCCCACTAGAAATGGACCTTTTGATGATTCTGTACAGAAGCAGTGTGCACCACCAAGCGTAAAGTGTGAGACCCCCTCACAATATAATTTACCATTAAGTTAAATAGTTTGTACACAACATAAGTGAAACTTTAGAAGGCAGTTTCTGACCAAATTGCAGTGTGAATGTTGGACATTGATAACTAGTGACTGGCCTGAAATGTGTGAAAGATATGATGAGAACAGGCCCCACTTGTTGTGAACAGTTTCAGTGTAAAAAAGTTTCTTTGTGAATGTATGAATGAGTTGGAGGAAGTTGAAGATGAGTGGGTTTGTTTTTCTCATTTGTTTCTAATATTACTAACCTTCAAACAAAGTTGATTTAAAAAAAAAAAAAAAAAAAAAGAATTACCAGGATTTGAAAGTTGAATAATACCCAGAATGTATGAAAGATGTGGAACATTTTAAAGTTTGAATGAAGTTTCGTGCCGAATGTATGAATGAGTACACAGAGTTTTAAAATACATCATAAGTCGTTTCTGAAACTTCCATTCATACATTTGAACAGGAAAAAAATCCCAATCCCAGGTCACACAGAATATTTTTTATAGTATTTAAGTTACCATTATTAGAAGTAGTGGCACACATGACGTTTCTGTGTTGAAAAATGTGAACATGATTAAGTTGCAATAACAGTTTGAGAATATTAATAAAGATCAAGATGAATGTAGGTTGTGAACACTTCCAGCATTTAAAGAACTAACCAACTTCTTAGTTTAACTGTGACAGAGTAACTGACAGACACGCTTCAAACACCATGCTAAAACACTGTCTGCCTCCCAGAAGATGAAATGACCATATTATGAAAAGTAGTAATCTTGATTTATAACAGAGGGACCATTACAAGCAAACGTGCTACTTCAAACCAGCTCCAGTTTTAGGACACCAGGGTGTCTTGAATCTCTGTCCCCTCAGGGCAAAGGTCTTTATCTATTGTCCCTCAGGGCTCTGTGAGTAAGTTTCCTCTGGTTTCCCACACTCTGTCCTTTCACTGCTTTCACTGGAGGAACAATAGAAGTGTGCCTCATTATGCATCACATTAGATACAATGTCTGACCTCTTTAAAGAGTGTAATTGTTTACTCTAAACATTCAAAAAACACCTAAACTTGACAATTACCAAGATATTAATGTTGCAAAAGTGTCTTTGAAATGGACCTTTTTTTTATTTAGTTTGATGACTTGACTTACTCCATGTAAAAAGAGTGATGTAATACTGATTATCCCTCCTCATCAAATATCTTGAACCACATTCCAATGCTTAGTTTAACACTAAACAGGTATGTTATGGATAAACAATTACTGTGTGTCATCATTTGATCTTGATTTACCAACCAAAGGTCGAAACGATGATGGCAAGAAATAAGTTGAAATAAAATATAAATGTATGTAACCATGATACACAGTGATACGAGGACACAACATTTTCAGCTGACAGTGTTTGTTTATTCAACAAGGCACAATGAGCAACAACGCTCCAACTAGAGGTGATGATGCATCACAACAACAACCTGTAGACTTCTACAAGACACACTGTACTCAGAGAGAGTAAAGGAACAACTGTCTTTATAAAAGACAAATGCTATACAGTATTTGAGGACACAGTACTCACTGTATTTTAAAAAATTGTTTTTCCAAATGGATTTAAACATTTGCATTTCCTGAACAACAGAAAAAAATAGTAAAAACTGACCTAACAACAGGTCACATTGTTCATCATCACTAAATTAGTTTGATTCTCTGAATGTTAAAATTACATTGTCACTGTAAAACTGTGACAGTGTGACATTAAACAAACCTTTTACAGTAAAAGGATAAACATACTGATCTTAAAACAGATCATTTTTCCATTGTCACATAAAGTGACACAAAGTTCACCATGACAAAATGTCCATAAAAGGACAGGTAATATTTTTGATAAATTCAAAATTATCAATACCTATCAAGAAGTAATAAATATCTCCATGCACAGTATTGTACCAACACATGATGTGCAGTGAGACATAAAAGTATCACAGGAAAATTGTGACATTAATCAAACTTTTAGAAAAAAAGCATAAATATTTGGATCTAACAAACAGATCAGTTATGGTTAATCAAAATGATTAAAGTCCATTATGACAATATGTCCATAACATAGAAGAACATGAAGTACAGTGAGATATAATCATAATAATTGCTGATGCAATCAGATTTGGTTCATGCAACATGCATGATAAGAAGTTCTCTTTCTTAATTTGAAAGATATTTTTGTTGTCATTTCCTCAGGAAAACACACAAAATAAAATCTTGTGTACAAACAGAAGAACAAGTTCATCAAATGTCAGAATTCAGAAGAATTCATTTCCAGTAATCTTTGACCAATATGGTCATCTGAGTTTGTCTGGTAGTAACTCCAGTCTGTAGGTGTCTACCACGGCCTCCAGAGGGCGCTGTTGACTGGACTCTGTTGTTTGGTGATGCTGGTCTGGACTGTGGAGCTCAGAGGAGAGAAGTCAGCCTCTGTCAGGTTGTTATCAGAGGAAGACTGCAGCTTGTTGAAGTGGTTCAGCAGTCTTCTCTGCTGTTGATGCTGCTGCTGCAGCTGTGTCAGGACACAAACTGTCATCTCCAGGATGTCTGCTTTCTCCAGCTTGGAGTCTGGCTGCTGTTTGAGGAACTCTGGACCCAGGAGAGACTTGAGCTGCTCAATGCTGCTGTTGATTCGCTCTCTGCGTAACTTCTCCACCAGAGGCTTTCTGAGCTGCAGGAAGAAGAACAAAGTCATTAAT